GTCTTATGTACGGCGAGGTGGTGGAGCGTGTCGTGGTCAGCCATCGGAGACCCGAATTCCCCGACCACACTCCCCCCCAATACAGGTGGGCCTGAGTGTATGTATGTATGTATGTAGGTACGTACGTATGTATCATGGAGCCTGGTGCCCCTGTGGCTACCATTCATCGAAATTGCTGTGCCCTGTACCTGTATTGCCGCTGCTGGTTGTTGGTGGTTGATGGTGTTGGTTGTTGCCGTTGCTGTTGTTGGTGTTGTTGGTGACTCCGGCGGCGGCGGCGGCGGTCTCTCCGTGCGCAGGTCTCTGGCTGAGCGCTGCTGGGCGTCTGACGCGGCGGCTCGTCCAACGTTTGCTGCCGTGCTAGCGGAAGTAGAATCCATGCTGGCGTCATCGGCTGTGCTGCAGGCCCAGAGTGACATGCTATACGCGTCGTTAACGCCGCCGCCGCCGCCGCCCCTGCAACCGACGGTGACGGCGGCACCCACTCCGGCTACGGAGGTTGCGGCGGAATCCCCCACCCCCACCTCCGGGGTGGCTACCTGGTACAACGGCGACCGCCGCCGCCCCGCGTCTCAACACGGTGATCTGGGTGCGCCGCCGCCACAACCTCGGACACCCCCGGAGACCACGAAGGCACCCCAGCAGCAGCAGCAGCAGCAGCAGCAGTAACAGCAACAGCAACAGCAACCGGCGCTCGTCTAGATGGTGGGGGCGTGCAGGTCATCGCGTGCGAGGTAGAGGTAGCGGTTTCGGAGAGTGAGAGGGAGGTAGGTGGGAAGATTTCCCATGGAGGAGGAGGAGGAGGAAAGCGATAAGCGGAGGAAGGGGGCCGAAAGGGGCGGGACCGAGTGTACGGCGGGTTGGGTGGGGGCGCCGTGTTGCCCGTGAGGACTCACCCCTAGCTGACAGTAGCCCAGACCTGCACATGCATCACGTACATGTACATGTACTTGCATGACATGCATGCATGAGTGGCTGCATGGCTGACCGATGCACGAGCACTGTGGGGGGAGAGAGATTGTGAACGGGTGCGAATGGCGCAAGTCGACTTTGCGATTGTTGCATCCATATAGCCATATAGGTCTGTCTATATGTACTTCTTCTAACGCGCCCCGGGTGAAGCCGCAATCGAACTGTGGCGCCGCCACTTGGTGGTTCTCCGTTCTGCGGCGGCGTGGGACCCCTGAAACGAATAATCCTCTTACCTAATCCCCCCCCCCTGGGGGTTACCAGGTAGTGGCCAGGGGGGGCCAACGCCGTGCTCCGTGTTTTGGGGGTTTCCACGGCAGGGAAGAGTCTGTTGTACGGCAGCCTGGTACTACCCCCTCTCGGCACACAAGTCATGGCGGGTCGACTCGCATCATAAATGGTGTACGGCACACTTATGTTGCTGTGCTGACAATTTCCAGCCGTTTGGTGCTGTCCTGAACCTTGTTCGAGCGTATTAACTGATATTTGGCAGCTCACCTTAATGCGATTTGAGCGGAGACCTCCATCCGCAGCCTCAAATTATTATTTTTCACAAGGTGCCAAGGAGGGAGGGAGGGAGGGCACAGCAGGGGCCATTTTTCTGGCGGCTCTATCGACAATGCATTGCCCGCGCACACATGAGGTCCGGTAGTGGATCAACACATTGCCATCTTACAGTTGTTGTTATCCTAGGACAGTTGAGACGTACATGGAGCCATGCCGTACCATATACGAGGTGAGCTGACAGGCACCCCCGACCACACACGGCGGAGATGTAAGAAATGCACATTGCTGCTTGCGGGCGTTGTTGATCGTTGGTTCCCGTCGTTGCTTGTATATGTATTGTATATGTATGTAAAGACTTTGCGGTTTATTTAGGAGAGGGTATAATACAAACAGGCTCCCGGGGTAATCGTGTTTTGTTGTATCATGTGTATCGCAAATTAAGGACCGAGAGCCCCTTGTGTGGGCCACGTGGTGTACACCCCGTATGCATTTACATGCCTGAGATCAAGGATAAGGCCCGGTTTGACGAATGGAAAACGAGGAATCTAAAGTCTCAGCGGATCCCGCGGAGGGGGCCTGGGCGGTATGTCCTTGGGTGGCATGTCCCTTGCCCGTTGCGGCATATGTCCATTTGGCAACATGGTGGTATTTGCTGCATGGTCCAGTTCTGTGGGATGGGAACCCGTGTTGATCGAGATGGAGCGCGGCATCATTGACACGGGGCACAATTTTTTATGGAAATGCAACATGTTAGCTAGCAATTCTGCGGCTTCAGTGTTCTGCGGCTTCAGTGTCGACTGGCCTTTTTTTCACCTCTTGCGGAAGGCATTTTGGAAGGCAACTTACCAGAAGGCCGCACTAGTACAGAACCCTGCTCAGGAGGCATGGGGGTTTCTTGGACTGCTGGGTCCTTATCCCCAAGCACTGTGCTACAGAAACCACAGCGCGGCCGCCAACTTGGATCAATTTTTGCTTCTCTCAAGCTGTATGCCTACTGGGCTGGAGGTGCCCCTCCGCAGCTTACTAATACTGCACGGCGGCGCCAACGGACAGTTGAAAATTCGATATAGTCGCGTGCAGGTTTGTCTACACGGTCTTTACAGGAGCATCTGCTGTTGAGCAGGTTCGGGAATGAGAAGATTTTGAAAAGTAGTAAATATTCTCAGACATACCAACGGTACGGATGACCATTGCCGCGGTGAGCCTTAATAGGCATGGATATGCTTTGAGGTTTGATTGGCACATGCAGGTTAATGGGAACCTGTCAGGCATTGGGGTTGGCTGCGGCCAACGGCTGAGAGTGCGTGCTACGGAGGACATAGCTTACCCCATGGCTTATTTTTTCCCCATGAGCCAAGAGGCTTCATGTAAGATTCTCAGGTCTACCTCTGTCAATACCTCCGGGATCACTTATCCCAGAACAGTCCAATCAGCCAACCGTCAGATGCCGTGACACTTCCCTATACCTCTGTAGCGCTCTCCCATGAATACAAGTTGCGACCCTTGCAAGCAAAAGACATATTGGTCACAAAGGATACAATTCTAGGCCTGAGTGACCTTTGGGAAGATGACAGACTGGTGATCACGAGACCTGAGCAGTTTGAGGGTATCTATCCGTCGCCTGGGCGCGTAAGGCCCATTTACGACGTTTGCCATTCATAGACATAACAAATTGCAGCATTTCGAGTTTTCTGACAGTTACTGGAGGTTTTGTGAGGTTTCGCAGGAAAGTCAAAATCGGAAACTGCTTCGCAGCCGCAGTACAGGTTTCCGCCCGAGCATTGCTACCTTTGCCCAATTAGAGATAGGATATCTGTAGCCATCGATTAGCTTTTCATGTTCATAAACTTCCTCCCTTGAAGACTTGCTCTTGGAAGGATTTGTAGAATGCGCAAACGGCAGCTATAACTAGAAAGCCCCAAGGAGCAGTACAAGTCGTTGATAGCAGCTTTGTTTTAGTTATTGTGTCGATTATGAGGACAGGGCTGGTTTGTGGAGCGCGAAGCATGCCGGCTTGCGAATGGGAAATATTATTTTTGATATCGTCCCTCCCATCTCAACTGCACGCCGGTTTGGGGGTCCTGGCTGGAAGTGAGGCCCACCCTGGAGTTAGTTGGTACCGCTTTCATGTACTTCCTCAAACAAACTGCTTCTGTAGTACTGTGATGTTTTATTTGTTATCTTCATGCAAACTGAGCTGAAGTTGCAAGGCGCGACCGCAGTTGCCGGTGCCATGCAAGCGCAACCGTCCCGGGACACAGCCTCAGGCCTAGAAATGGACTCATAGGGATACATAAAACCTAGCTGTAAACGGAAATGAACAAAGCCATGGAATCTGTCCTGGACCCGAGCCATCTGCTTGCATCGCGAAGACCACGCGTCGCGCGCCGCAATGCCAGCAAAGTTTGCCATCGCCACAAAACAGCAAAGCAAAGATGCCCCTGATACGGTTTCTGTTAATTGTTATATATATTTACTACTTAATTTTCTTGAATTGCCACAGCACTAGTGGTATAGTGGTAGCATAGGTCCTTGCCACGGACCAGACCCGAGTTCGATTCTCGGCTAGTGCAGTGCATTTTCTTTGGTGGCTTTCTTTGCTCCGGAAGCCTTACTCTCCACTCGCTTTACCTAAGCCTTCGAAGGCCTTCGTACTTTGCCTCGCGTTATGCGTGTGTGTGGCAAGCGCCTTACGCATAACAACGGAAGCTAGTTTCGGTGTAGTCGCTCTGATGAGCCCACTATGAAAATCCGCTTCTGTTTGTGCCCGCGATATCGCTCTGGAACCAGCATGTGTGTTCTCGCGACCGACTGCTTTTTCATCCCAATAAGATAGGGAAGAAAGACACTCATCGTGCATGATGTCATGGCGTGCATATGGTAACATAATCGCCGTCAGCTTTTTCTGAGGCTTGGTGCGGGGTAGCAAGCTACCAGTGCGATTTCTTCCAGCCATACGAAAACAAGGCTGTGTCGGCTTCCTTGAAGCGGGACAAGGGCGGAGGTCCCTTTAATCCTAAAGGTCCAGTGCTTAGCCACATGTGTGCCGGGCTGTCTCGCTGTCTCGCTGTGCAGAGAGCGGTCGCGACGGGACCGGGGATGCCGACGTACATATACACATAGGATAGGCACTACTGTTGGATCCGGGGTGAGGGTCAAATTTCTTTCCATTGGATGCTGGTGGTGGGTGCGGAATCTGAGCAATCCATTGCGAAGTTGATTATAGTGATTAGAGGAGGGCCCCCCGAAATACCGGGAACGCAGGATTTCACCGGGTAGCGGCCACGGGTGAAAATATACCCCCCTGTTCCACCCATCATATGTATGCGGGAGCAGTCTGTAAGCCGACATACAAGAGCAATCGGGAAGCTAATCGGTCGAAGTTCGCGCGTATAAGTCCCCGAATCTATGGGAGATTGTGGAGGGGAATCGGCAGAACCGCGTGCGATGGGTATGTGAGTGTCACGAATTCCGGGTGCATGCCAGTACAGCGGCCGGCGCATGGTGCTTTGGTGCGGGCCCTCGAAGGCCCTAAACTTTGGGTAGTCTTGTGGAGAAAAGATATTTTTGTCCCATTAGGGAAACGCTAATCATATCGTGAAGCGCGGCACGGCAAGCCGCCGCAATGGGCGCGGAGAGAAGGTCGCGCAAGTTGCATGTTCGATTTGCATAACACCGTCAACTGCATGTCCTTTCATAAGAAACACGGAATTGTATAGACCTTGTCCACTAGTCGGCTAGCGTTTCCGGCCGCCAAGAGGAAGGCACTTTAAATGACGGCTTCCGGGAACAGAGCTCAGCAGATGCTACAGGGAAGGAAGAAGTAGGTACATGGATTATGAATAAATGCACTCGGCACATAGATGAATGCGTGGGTCTGTCAGCATGCCGGTTCCCCACGGATCACTCAGCCATCCAGCCTTGGGCTTGTTGGAACGCATATGACAGGTGTCTTAAGCGCTTCGGCAGGGACGTGGTTTACAAGGTGAAGCAGCTCGCCGATCTCCTTGCCCGAAAGGAGGCGTCCGCCTGCACGAGCACTGTGCACACATACGGGACTTACGAAAACCAGTTCAGGCCAAGAGGGTTAAAGAGAAGGTTTATAAACGTTGCACGCGCGGGGGAGTGTGCCCCCGCGGGATTGGCCTGTGGGTTCGAGGGGTGGGGAGGGGTCACTCAGGCTAGTTTGCTCATGCAACTGCGGCATAAATGCACCTGCCATTACAGTACTGTCTTGGCTGCTTTGCCGTCATGAGACATGTTTGGCAGCACTTGAGGAGATAAACTGAGGTTGATGCAGTGCAGCCACAAGTTTGCTAGCCTAGCTGCAGCTTTCATGAAATCCTCTTCGAGAATGGGAGGGCTGAAGCCGTGCTCAGGTTGGCCTAGAGCTCCCTTACTGCCCTGTACGAAAGTATCAACAACGTGTGCAGTCTCAGGGATGAGCAGGAGCTGTGTAAAGTACAGGTCTTCAAAATGAAGTTCAGCACCGCCATGGCAGCCTGCAAGGGGAAGGGTGTGCAGTGAGTACCTAAGACTTTTCTTAAAGAGGACTACAAGAGGATAGCCACCTTGGTAAGGCCCCCTTGCCCGTTGCTACCTCAAGGATCAGGACCCGCAGGCTGACACCGCCGCCAGCCTGCTGACCCATGTGCATGAAGAGTTGATGCACCTAATCTAAATATTGTCAGACTTACCAACGGTATGGATGACAGTTGCTCTGGTGGGCCGAGGGCTGCATTAACAGCATTACATCGTAACACAGCAAAGGTGTACCTACCTGCCCAGGGATACGCGGATGGGCCTAGCATCAATACACAGCCTACCTGTTGGCCTTGTAATGACTGCCAATTTTCGTGTTCTGTAATGTTTTGGAGTTAGGTGTTTTGGAATTCGTGTTTTGTTATTGTCGTAACTTCAGAGCTAGAGGGGCCAGCCTCGCCTGAGGACTGGGTAAGCTTATCCACGAGCCGTACTTCAGTACTGCTGAAGAGGGTGATGAAGGGGGATCCTCAGAGTCGAC